GTCTCATTGTTTTGGAAGTTATGATTGTCGTCATTAGAAAGCAAGCATAAAGGCATCATAGGATTTTCATTACACCCCATGAACTGGGCAAGCATCCATGGAAAAATATAAAGTGATTTAGTTGGATTTTCCACCCAATTAATCAGTCCTGAAACCAACGGAATCATTGTATAATGAAGTGGCTTTGCTCTAAAGAAGTCGTAATAGTTTACACTGCTCTAATGATCTGCTTCTTAGAGAAGCTGAAGATAACAACAGCCACCATCACCAAACAGATTTATAACTTAATAATACTTTCAAATCTAAGACCACTTTTTGGAGATAAAAAATTGCCTTACACTTCCCCTAACTTCAAATATCAAACAGATGATTATGAACTGGAGACCTTAGTGCCAACGTTTCACATTTTACACAAAAACCAAGGAATTAGCCACTACTATTTTACAGCATCACCAAAGAATTGCACTTCATTAGTTAGCAGCCGTAGGCTACATGTTCTTCCCAGTTATGTAATAAAAAAAATTGTATAAACACCTGGCATGTATAGGGATTACAGGTCTCATATGAAATAATACACAGTCACTATATTAAAAATATTAACATAATATAAAAAGCTATGACCAATAAATAAATAAATAAATGTCCTTTTGTGTTTACCTTTCTCTCAAAAAGTTTTTAACACTACTTAAAAATTTTATATAAAAATACATATGGGAGAAATAGGTGGAAAACTGTCCAAACTAGCTTGAGAAACAGTAGGGGATAACAAAACACTTCATAGTCGATCACAATTCTGTCCAAGTCAGTAAAGTGAAGTCTAGATTTTATCTAACAAGCTACATGAAAAGACATATACATACTAACCTCAGAAGGGGAAGTTTTTTCCTATAAAGCAATAACCTCTTCTATTGTTCAGGATATACGAAGAATATTATATTAAACATAACATTATAAATGATAATAGTTTAATTACTGGAATAGGGGACTCCAGGCATGAATCCAGAAGCCAGTAATTAAGAACAAGAATGACATCTAGTGGACACTTTGAAAACAGAACATGAACCACCATCACAAAAGCCACATAGAAGAGTCAATTTTCATTGTAATACATTATATAGTTTTCAAGTTGCTATAGCATAAGGGCATAAAAATATCCAGAATGAGTGGGCACAAATGTGGCAGAGGAAGGAAGCTTATATATAGTATTCATTCTCTGAAACAGGAATAGCGGTTGTTGTTTTTTCCCCATGGGACTTCGGCCTTTAGATTAAAAATTAAGGGTAGAAATGACTATTTGTGTTTAATAAACTGTGGGAAATCAGTCTGATTTCAAGGAGACCAGTATGAATTAGAGGACGCAGCAGATGCACATTTGTAACAAAGTACAGTTAAACTTCTTGCTGCTGCACAGATTTCACCACTTGTCTCCCTTCTTTCCTTGTTGATTCTGCAACACTTAAGCATTTTAGAATTATTGTTTTAGACCATTTACCATCTTCCACCTATGTTTTATAAACTCCATTTGTACTCCTATTTCTCCAGCACCTGCCACAATGTGGCCTAGCAGCTGCAGATGCTTAAAGATGAGGCACTTGAATGAGCAGGTTAAAGCGACTCAAAACTTTATCTCAACACCTGCTCCCAAGTAGTCCAACTGCTTTGCTTTCTTTCTGATGTGCAAAGCCAGATCATGTGAGATCATTAATTGTCTCAAGTTTGCTTTTACTATTTGCCAGCAAGGCTAGTTTATATTCAAAAACCAAGTCAACACTTAGAAACCATTCAGATCTGCTGTTGGCTGTTCCACTGAAGAACACTGTTATTGACTTCATGACAAAATGCCAATACAGAGTTAAAAAAGCCAATTTTCTATACTTACACTTGTATAATAATTTTAAAAAAAAACATCTTTACAAAACACTACAAACTAAGTATTGACCCTTTTTCTGGTCTTAAAGAGATTTTTTTGGATTTGGATTTTTTGAGAAACCAGAGAAGAATTGGTCAACAAATAAGTATAAAAAACCAGAAGAGTTTGATTTTTCATCCTACATTTTCCTCACTTCCAATATTTCCACCCAATAATTGCTGTCTGTTTGCTGTATAATGATCATGATTTGTGTAAGAAAGATAATAAGTACTACTGTTTTTTGATTATTACTTGGCTGCGTTACAGCTATTTTTACACGCATATTTAAAATTTGAAATTAACAACTGAACTTAAGTGATCACATATGGTTTTGTAATACCTTAAAGTTTTACTATTTTGATGGCTTCCTGCCTCTCTAAATCAAATCATGACAGTAGCTTTAATGTGTAAAAGACAATCTGTCCCATTGTTACAGTGATGCTAGAACAGTGCAAAAGAGCCTTATGATAAACAAGAATCTGAGCCTACCACCTGTTTTCATCTTGCCTAAAACCTGACCAAAATACTGAAGTCAATGAATCATTATCTTCAGTGAGCTCTGGATCAGACCCAAGGTTAACAGTGCACCTCTAGCATCCTTAAAGGGAAAAATCACTTTCATATTTATATAGGACTGTACCTTTTCATCAAGCACCCAAACATCTGCATTAACACTGATCTCCAGTTGGGTTTATTAACTGCACATTTGCTTCTTGAAGAAAGTAGCAAGGGTTGACATCACTACCTCTACTAAATTTCAGTTCAGAATTACAAATAATTTTAAAACCAAGTCTCCCTTCAAAAGTATACTTTGTGTGAGATTTTCAGAAATTCTTTAGAGTTGGCTTAACACTGATCTCAGTGATATCAAAAGTAAAGTTTCCTTTGGACTTTAATAGGAAGTTAAGCCACTGGTAAGCACTTTTGAAAATGGCACCCTGTATCCCATTATGAAATCCATGCATTTAACATTTTAGTTTTGTTACAAGGAAAACATCAATAATCGGGCCCAATGAAGCCAAGAGCTAATATAAAGAAGCATTTACATATTCAGCGACTACATGTAAGTTCCAAAACAAAAACAAACATGATTCCTTCTGTAGATTTTTAAGAATTATACCAGGAAAAACCTGAAGGCAGAAACACTGAAAGCAATTATACTGTAGAACCCAGTTGTTTTTTTCAAATCAGGACTGTTTGCAACCTGCAACCCAGTGGGGGTTACTGAATTACGGACAAATGGCTCAGTTGATTGCTACAGATACTTGAAAAGGCACTGCTTCCCTACTCAACTGAAGCTCATCAGCAGGTGCCAGACAGCTAACTGAAGAAGTAGCACAGCCTTCTAAATAAAAGCCACAGCAAACAACTCAAACTCCCATCTTCACAGCAGGTTGAGGAACCTAACCCTACTGTATCTTATACACACATTTATTACAAGTCAAAACAAGACTGAAGGGGAAAAAAGCAACGGAAGGCCAAAGCAAATTCTATAGCACAGTACAGGAAGCAACTGATACTCCCTCTGTATCATTTCTCCCACTATTCCTTCATGAACTTCTTTTCTAATTTATCTTTCACTGGTTATAATAGAAATTCCATACTTACACTATATACCAGTGTTTCTCAACCAGTGGGTCACAGCCCAAAAGTGGGTCGCAAGAATATATAAACACATCATGAACAAACTTTAAAAATGGATTCTCCTTTAAAGGAGAAAAATGTGGGAAACCGCTTCTCCATTTCAGGCTGTCAGAGTTCCAGCCTCCAAGAGGCTGCCTGGGGCCCCCCTGCCCTATATATGGGGGGCTGGGGTTGCTCATTGATGTTTACAAATGGGTCCCGGTACAAAAACTAATTTTAAAAAATGTTCGAGAACTACTAATACATACCACACACATCCCAACCCCCCAAAAATCAGTATCTGCTATTCTTTTATTGGCTAATGTTAAATTATGCATTTATCTATATCATGTCTTACTAGAACATCTATACAGTCGCCCTTTCCAGAACTAATGCCTTTCAATCCTTTAAATCCTTTTAAAAATAATCTCACTTGCCCTATTGTATATGCTTTTAGTTACTTTTTTATCATTTAAGAGCATTTCCCTGAAATCATATAACAAAGTTCATATCTCAGTCATCCATTCCTGCCAAGCCCAACCAAGCCTATAGCATGTCAAGACTTTTTAATACTCATGGGTGCTAGGGCTTCCCAACTTAGTTTCATTGCATCTTAAATCATAACATTTAGGCTATAACTTCCAAGTGTCGAGCAACCTTTGTCTCAGAAATGTTATGATGTATATTATATTACCTCACTTAAGGGTAATTGCCCCAATATGGAGAAGATATGTTTCAGAACAAATGTGCAACTCCCTTTGCCTCAGTCAGTAAAGCAGGACTGTGTTATTGTGCAAGTATACCATTTCAAAAATAAGTAAAAGCATGACGATGTGCAACTTTGCATTTCACATTTGAAAACACTCCCAATTTTGCTGTACCTGTTCTAGCAGATGTTGTATAAATGGGAACAGTGGGCTTTAATTTAAAAAGCAAAGATGAAGTATAATCATCACCAACTTACCCGGATCTCCTGAAGGTTATGAAAATTATTTCCTACTCTGACAGAGATCTTGCTTGGAGTGTAGCTTTCATCAGATTTGTAGTCTGCATAAATACATAACGTCTTCACTGTTGTTTTTCTTCTGTAAGAAAGTAGAAAAAACTAAGCAAGCATCCTACAGAAAAAAATATCAAAGGTGTGGTTAATTTCAATTTTGAAACAAGTGAGATTTAAATGCTGTAAAACTTAAAACAAATGCAACTATCTTAATTTAAAGAATCCCTGCAGAAATTAAGTATTTAAGCACATATTTTATAAAATATACACATACACAAACAAGTACGCAAAATGGATAATATGAAAGAACCACGGTATCTATCTACAGAAACATAAGTAAACAATTATCATGGCAAGGAACTAAAATAAGGCACTGTGACATCAAACCAACCAGTGCAAAACATACCTTTCATTGCACATTAAAGCTTGCTAAGTCTGGGCTATCATGGCCTCCTAAGGAGACGACTGATGAACCAAAGAAGGGGACTTAGCTGTCCAACTTCTTAACTCCTTTTTAAAAAAAGTTCAACCATAGGAATGGACTACAAAAACCTTACAGACAGCCTTATCTTCCGCAACAGAATAGACTGGGAAAAGGCTGGCCAGATAATGAGGTTTTAAATCATATTGGGCTTTCCAGATCATCACTAACACCCTGGGATTGCACCCAAAAGCAGATAGGAAACTATTGCAGGAATATCACCATATCTTAGTGAATGTGATATTGTAAATGTTTATTACTTAACTAACTTAACTAGACATAACTCATTATGACATTATCATTGCTTAATTTGGTATTTGGTACAAGAAAATATCTACAATAGTGGTTTTTTTCAAAGGAAGCAATTTAACTGGCCTCTGGCAAGATCACTAATGAAGGTACAATCCTGCATCCATATTTCTGATTAATTTAATCAAGTGTAGGGATCACAGGACCACAACTGATTAGCCTAATCATATACAACAAGGCACACAAATACTAAATACCTAAATTGGATGTTCACCAAATGAGGCTGTGACCCATCAGACTGCCAGTATGTTTCTAGATTATCATCTCGTAATTGGTCGACTCCAAATCCTAATGAGAAGAAAAAAGTTTACAATCTCCTGTGTTGTGTTTTCATGTTGCAGGCATCACAAATGAAACTTTTTCAGCAAGATGACTATACCATGATGCTAGAAATGTAACTTCAAGCACCAGAAAAGCTACTTACAAACTACAGAAGTTTTCAAATTTATTTGCTGCATAAAATGGGTGAAGAAGTGTTGACTACAATGAGCCCATGTCATGATACTCACTCAACTCCTGCTGAAGTCAATAAGATTTAAAGGCATTCAGTTTACCCTGGAATGGAACCCTAAATCTGTATATTACTATTTTTGTACAGTTCTAAAAACTTGTACATAACAAAATAAAAGAGATCCATATGGCAGAGAGTATAACCTAATTTGTACAGGTCTGTTTTCAGGACAGAACTCTGTTAAATAGATGAGAGTTCTTAAAAACAAAGTAACCCTTTGTCAAATTGTCACTTCCATTCACATTTCTAAAGAGGTCATAATTCTGATAAACTGAGCAAGTTTTGGAATAGAGCCTAATTTAAAAAACATGGCCTATATTTGCTGAGTTTTTAGAACCCTCCTTATTAAGTTCCTGATATGGTGCTCTGCAAGCATTTTCACAAACAGCCTTCAATATTCTCTAGTAGTTTAAATTGAAAAAAAAAACAAATCCCATTTTTATAATTATAATGGATTTTTAAAAAAATTTTAAGACAACCTATTTAATGCTTTTTAGGTTCAGTTTACTGTAACTGTGAAACTTATTTAATAAAAGCTACAATATTAACAATGCAACTTTACTCAATGCCTGATACCCTTGGTTAAGTAGAAAATGTGCATCCAGGCCATACCCAAAGTATACAAGCATTTAGCATAAAACATAGAACTATGTATTTTCACAAGCCTCAAGGAGTTATTCTTGATCCCTATTCCCTTAAATAAATATGGAGTCCACCCAAGGAACAGACAGTATAGTCTCAGAAACTACATTTGGAGTAAGACAGGAAAGTGATAGAGAAGTACAAACTACAACCATTTTAATCTCAACTTTCACATATATTATCCTCCTTCCCCTGCTCCCAACGATTCTGTTGTTTTGTGGAGAGTTTATTTTTGAAACACTGGGTCAAGGTTACTTTAAATGTTGTCTACCCTGAGTATGGTCTTGCAACTCCTTACTCTCAGGAGTAATCTCAATCAAGTCAGAGAGACCACCCAGGTAAGTGAACAAGGACCATGTGTATAAGGATTAAGGCCTACACAAATCCAGAGCAGATGGTTTTACAGTGGCTCTGTTATACTAAATACAAAGGAATTATTTGCTATGTTCCACATGTGATTTTTCAGGCTTTTCATCTATTTTGGAACTAAACAATTAAAGTAATCATGATATAAGGGACAGCCCCTTTATAATAAAATTCCAACCAAACATAACTCCAGTATTCACTTTTCAAAAGTATGTTTTAAGAATCTTTACTCTTTTTTTGGAAAACCTACCTACTGACTACAATCGGAAGAACCCTCAAGCTTACGGTTCTCTGAAAACACTCTAAATTTAAATGCACTAAAACCAGCTCTTAAATGAAGGAATTCTTCTAAATTTTCTAATTTTCATGTTATACTCATTTCTATCTTCATGGTGCTAGCTGCTCTTCCCCACTTTCATTATCACTTTCCCTACCAGCATCATTTCCTTTCCCACTATCCCATGGTGGCTGCAGTTCACACATAGTTAGTGGTTCCATCCACAATTACAGAATGCGTGACATGACAAGCACATGTCATTGTATGAATTCTCAAAGTAGTATAAGATATGTGGACATCAGATCACAAGTGTTGAACCTAACACAAAATTGGGTTTTCCAATTAATCCTACTACTGACATGTTCAACACAGCTGCATCCCTACCATTTATGATAATTATTTCATTTTGGCCTCATACCTGTACAAGTTAGCTGTAAAATTTGTTCTTAGTGGCCTAGCTGTAATAGCAGAAACCCTAGTGCAGACACATCTGGACTGGGAAAAAAAAATTTTGCTTGACATTTAGGTATAAAGTCTACCAATATTCTCTACTAGAAGAATGGCAAGATATTTCTAGTATACGTTGAAGTCAAAGTTATTTCTAAAGGGCTGCATAGGAAGCAATGTCTCATTCATGTTCATGTTCCTTTTACGAATTATTCTTCACTGAAAAAAAAGCAGAGGAAACAACTATCAATATCACCGACACAAAAAGTCTGCAGTACTAGGTACGCACCTGACCTAGGTTTCAACTAGGTAATTTGTTTACTAGTAGCAGTCTAGTCAAAGCAGCTTGGAAGTCAATGTCCTGATCTGAACCTAGCTTGGGAAATTCCACATAACACTGAAGTCTATTTTGCAACTGAAAGGAAGACATACCTTAAGTGGCTGTTTGAGGATTTCACAAGCTTATAAATTAACACTATCTTGCCTTGTGAACAAAATCATCATCATATAAATCTCTTTATCAAAGTAACAGAATACCACGTTTATTTGCTTAGGGGATCAGGTGCATACACACGCATGTGTGTGCATCCCCATATATGCATACCTGCGCACACAAATTATTGTATTTTTTTTTTATACATAAAATCTCATGAATGTTATGTTTACTGGTTTGTGGTTTGCTTTTTTTAAAGTTTACCTGGTTTACAGGATGAAAGTGACCAAACGGCTTGTGAGCCTATTTCCCGAACTGTTCCAGTCCTTTCCAACTGCTTGGGATCAGCACCAGGCGGTGTCTTGTTAGGCGTGGTCATTTCTCACTAATAAAAAGAAGAGAGCAAGTACAACCAAGGTAATTGCTTTAGTTTTCCCCATCAAGATGAAGACAGAAGATTTCAAGCAGCTGATGGAAGCTTTGAAATGTTAGTTCATAGGCATGAATGGAAGAATAGAATATACACACACTTACGCACATATACAATCTCCTTTACATATCTTGAGTGCGTGTTCATATATTACATACATGTGCACGATATGTAAAGGAAATTATATATTACACACATATACACACACACACATTACCTTTACATATTGTATATCCTTTACGTATCGTGTATTATATATAATAAAAGCCTAAGTCTGTCTGTCTGTCTGCAACTCTTTATTCACACTCTGATTGGCTGACACAAACAGCCAGTAAAAGTGCTCCAAGCGAGGGGAGAGCTGCCATGATTCCAAAGCGGTGCCGAAGACTGGACAGAGGGTGGGGGAGCTACTGGCCTCAGCTCCCCCACGCCACTCCCTGCAAGAGGCAGAACAGCAGCACCATGGATCGTTAGGTGGCAGCACTCCATCCCAGCCCCCTCCCCCTGTCATTTTTGATGGGCAATTGGCATGTGCGTGTGTAATATAAAATTTATTTTACATATCTTCATTGTACATATAAAAACCTCGCATGTACTAGATGCATTAAATAATTGTAATTTTCATAAAAATGATGCATATTTCGCTTAATTTGCCTGGTATCTTAGTCTTTATGGCTCATATTTTCAAGTTTTTCTCTACAGTCAAGTGGGATAAATATTTGTTTTTTTATAAATGAAAGCCAAGGCACAATTCCATAACTCTATGAACCAAAGCTTTAAGAAAACACCAAAATACAAACAGAGTTTTGATTAAAATTGCAAGTGTTGGTAACACTTTAATCTTCCAGAGCAGATAAAATATTGTAACAGGAAGATTTTTTTTTAACCGTAAAAACCAGAGAACCTATGGAAGCAGCCAATAGGCACTAAGAATCATGGTAGTTTGAGAGTATTATACAGGTTTGCTTGAGTCTTATACCCATAATTGCCCCTTTCCTTAGTAGAATATTCTGAACTAGAGGTGCACTGATACACTAGTCCAATATTAGATCGGCACCAATATAAAGAAAATTGACTGTCGGAAATTGACTTCTTTTTCCTGATGCAGATTATAATTTGGCTAATAAATGTCCCGTGCACATACGCAGCCACAGTGCAGCACATCGGTGGCAAGGAGCACAGCCCAGCAGCTTGGAGAGCTGAGTCCAGCTGGTAAGTTAGTTGTGGAAGGGGAAGGGGGAGGGAAGGGGTGTGGGGTGGGTAGATTAAGGCCCCCACAATGAGGGAGGGAGTGAGGCTGGGGCTTGAGCTGGGGTGGGACATGGCATAGAATGGAGCCATGGCTCCTCCAGGAGGTGCAGGGGTGAGGGGTTGGCTCCTACCACTGTGCACACCCCAGGAGGGCATGGGTGACAAGTGGTCCAAGATCTGTGCAGGGTAGGGAGGGGTGGGCTGCTGCTGCAAACCGGGGCCAGGGCTGCACTGGGTTCTTCCCGGCAGGGCATGCGCCAAGCTATGCTTAGGGTAGGCAGTGGCAGTGCTGGCGGGGGGTGTGGTACAGCAAATGTTGGGATGGCTGCAGCCTCTTGTAGCCCCCTCCCAGCTCCACTGCCACCCACCCTGAGCACAGCCTGCCCCAGCCCCCTACCAGGAATAGCCTGGCCCAGCCCCTGCCCCAGCCCGCAGCAGCTGCCTGCCTGACCCCACACAGATCCAGTGGCACACATCCCCAGTGGCCTCCTGGGGTGCTCCCCCACACCCTCCAGACAAACCATGGCTTCATCCCACACTCTGCCCCACTTTAGCTGGGCAGAGCCTGCCCCAGCCCCACTCCCTCCCTCACCGTGAGGGCCTCATTCTTCCCCCCTCCCCTTCCACCCACAAAAGACTTACCAGCTGGACACTGCTCTTCAAGGTGCCAGGCAACGTATTGGAAAATTGGACTGGAATCGGCCAATATGCCTCCTTAAAAATAGGCTGTCAGTATCAGCCCCCAAAATCTCTATTAGTGCACCCCTATTCTGAACAGGTTAGTTCCAACACCTGCCCAAGAAGTGGCTACATTTCACTGGTTCTACAAGCATACAGAATATACTTTTTAGGGCTGCATATAGCAAAGAGAAGTACGTTATTATAATGATATGAATTAACCTAGTTATGATCAGATGATTATATTTTTATAAATGCTAAACTTGATGTATTTTTTTAGTGTGCTATTAACTAGTTCTGGATACAGTAAAATAAAGAACAGAGAGGTATACTCTGTCAATTTCCTTTAGTCTTTTTTTTTTTTTAAATTACAAAAGGAACACAGTGCATTTACTATGCAAGAAACAAAAAAT